ATGCCTGTTTTCCATTTTTCTGTCCTTTTTAGTTCACCTGAGCTGAAAGTTCTAGTGAGTTTTTCTGATCAAACGTCTGGTCTAACTTGTCCATTGGTAGAGCTTGGTTGTTACTATGAACTACTGATTACTATGAATGTCTAAATACTCAAATATGAAACAGATATGTCAGACTCTGCTATCTTCTATCTCAAGCTCACCAGGATATATCACATTGACATAAGAATAGAAATTACCATTGACATTGACAATTAATTGACAATACATCATTGAATATTATCTAACTGTTGAGTTGAAGGCCACAACAAGTGTTTTCTTCTTTTCACACATAAAATTTTGCACAAATTCTGATTCATATGAATACAGATATAAGTCTGCTAAAAACGGAGCACAACCTGTACCCATGGGAATTCCAATCGATTGTTGGAGACCTGGTGTTCAAAAAGAACATAGAAATTGTCAATCAGGATCTTTTTAATGTCAACTTCAGAGTACCTGTGTGTACAATCAGAATGTATTTTTATGTGTGAACAAGTTTTATACATTGAAATATGTAGAAAAAAATCTTCTCAAGTACCGCTTAGTTAGAAAAGTTGATACTTTTATGGAAACATCTGGGTGTACTGTAGATTCTAAATTGTTTAAATCTTGACTCCAGGGGTAGGTGGGACCATAATGGAGAATCCAACTTTTACATTGAAATACATGTATGTAGGAAAAAATCTTCTTTTCAAGAACCACTTGATGAGAAAAGCTGAAACTTATTTAGAAGCATCAAGGGGTAGTGTTGAATCAAAATTACTCAAACCATCACTACTGAGCTGGGCTTAAGACAGGGCCATAATAGTGTAACAAGGGGGTGGGGGAGGGGTGGGGGTGGGGGTGTCAGGTGAAGAACAGCAGGGCGAAAGCTACTCAGGTGAGTGTTGTGGCTTACTGGCCTCTTGTTGTCCTTTACTACTGTCTGCAAGGGAGGGGATTTAGTAAGTAGGTCCTTTGAAAATAAAATGACATGCTAGTCAAGTTAGTGCTTATTGTAAATTGTAGCATTTTCTATTGTAGATTATTTTTTGGATGGAAGATCAATCTGTTTGAGTTTTGGAGACATTTTTCCATGCTTCTTCAGAGACTGGGTCAAGCAACACCAACAGAGGGAAGATTTAAACATCTTTTCATGGCTTTCTCAAGAATTTTTTTTCTTTCGCCAGAGTAAGAATTTATTAGTGAAAAAATTAAATTAATTATAGTACGTACTATAGAAGTTTAAAGATACATAAGAAAGAGTTTCTGTTATCTTTTCACATTTTAACTTCTTTAAAACCACTAGACCTATTTCAACCAAACTTGTCACAAAGCATCCTTAAGTAAAAGTAATTCACTTTATTTAAATGAAAGACCAAATACTCTTTGAAAGGGATAATACATGCATCAAGAATAAATTGGTTTCTTTTAAAATCTAAAGAACCACTGGACCAAAATAAGTTGAAACAATAATGAAACCTTTAGATTTTACGTATATAATGATGATTCATATTTGTTCAAATTATCAAATTATGACCCTCCCCCCCCAAAAAAAAAAACACTTGGCAAGAAAAGCTGATAAACTAATGTGTAATCATAATTAAGTTGTGAGGATTCTAACTTGTTCAAATCATGACCTCCAGGGGTAGGACGTGGTCACAATAGGGAATCCAAATTTTGAAATATGAAATTTCTATATATATCTATATATATGTAGGAAAATTCTTTTAAAATCTTCTTCTCTAGAGTCACATGGTTAGAAAAGCTTTATCTTTTGTTTAGGCATCCCTGGGTAGTGTAGATGTTAAAAAGATCAAAGTTTGACCCCAGGGGGTAGCCACAATAGGTAATACATGGGGAGGGGGGGGGGGTCTGATTAAGAATGAAGGTGCTCAGGTGAGCAATGTGGCTCATGTGCCTCTTGTTTTCCGTTTTTCCTAGCCACAGAGCTCAGGTGAGTGATGTGGCCTATGTTCTTCTTGTTATTGTGGCCTTTGATTTCCTTAAAGATAACATTTCTCAATGTGAGCATTATAATCCTATATTTCCATATACTTTCTAAACTTTTGTTCAAATCAGTAAAAATAAGACTTCTTTTATAGGCCAGGGCAGGCTTTTATTGAACACATGGTCATCAAGGATGTTGTTGTGCGTGGTACACCAGCTGTTCGGTTTAATACTTTTCAAGACAAGTATTTAAAGGTGTTCATCGTCACTGAGGTCAGTAATGAATATATATTTTTTTCTCATAATTGTAGGTTCCCTTAGTAAACAACTTATCAGCTGCTTCTACTCTGAATCAATTTTGGCAAATAATGTCTATGGGTGTAGGGAGACAAAAATTGTGAATTTTGTGGTCACCCCCCCCCCCCCCCCCATCCTATTTCTGTTAACATGATTGTAAAAAGCATTGAGCCCTATATCAAAATTGTGTCTTTAAGGGGTTCTGATGAAGAAATTTTGGAACCACTGGTTGCCAGATTACACAAGTGTTACTGTGCTTTGAATTTGCCATTTTAAAAAAAAAGAAGATATTTTTATTTCTGTATTTGTATTTATTTATCTCATCCATTTTCTACAATACTCGTAACTCAACCGTAATTGTTACATGGCAGATTTATGGTTGTAGTGTAGATGCAGTCACTAAAATAAAAAAAAAAAGATCTTTTGAACAGATGTTCTTTGCCAGTAAATCATTTCGATTTTAAACATGGGTCTATATTACTTATTCAAGGTCACATTTACAAAATTGGGATTAAGACTTTAAAAAATTGAAAATTAAAAAAAAGAATATAAATTCCTCCTAATTTTTTGCCCCTACTGTCTACATTAAACAAGTCATGGAGAATTCTGCATTATCATTGTTATTATGATTTTTTTGATTTTTTAGGTAAAAATGTATGATGCCTTAAAAGGAAACTTTAACTCTGAGACTTTCACATTTAGAAATGTTGGGAAGGAAGTTCTAGGTCAGCATGGAATTGAACTCCTGGTGGAGAGAAAGGGCTCCTTTTTCTTTCCCTATGTAGTCGGGATTCTTTGTATTGGAACACTAGTAAGTGTATTATCTGATATTTTTGGTCACCTGAGTGACACAGGTGACCTACGGTTATCTGTTTTCATCTGTCGCTATGCGCCAGTCGTTGTCTTTGAACATTTGAACATGTTCAACTTCTTCTCTGAAACCACTCAACTAAATTTCAATCAATTTTACCATATAGCATACCGTATAGCCGGTTATTTTGGCGGGGATATAATTTTGGCCTATTTTGGCGATTTCTAAAAATTTACCAAAATAAAAACCGCTAATTTGTAGCCTACACACATGCGTTTGTAAATTCCCCATTTTTGAATTGTTACAGCAAATCACCGGTAAATAAGTCAACGAATAGTTATAAATAAAGATATAATTATCCATACTGACATTATTTTGATTAAACAAATATATTTAGTTCTACAAGTTTATCATTTTTAATTTGGATTTCATCACTGCCAAAACTTTTACTCCAATCGACCCTCAATTTATAAAAGTGTCATGCTTGCTAAACAATGGGTTCAAATCATCTGTCATTTAAACGGCAAACTCATGACCAATGAAGTTTTTTTTCAACAATAAATATTCTAAACTACATGTACTTGTTATAATTAAATAACTGGTATCAATAAATACCTATGTGCGAAAGTACATGTAATTGCGCTTGGGATGGTTTGTTTCTGTAAACACAGACAGCGCTTGGAATGCATTAATTGTCAGCAAAATGAATATATAAACGGATTTAGCTACGGAAAAGGAAAAATAAGTTCGTGTCCTACTTTCGTTTTCAATTTAATACAAATATTTTACTTCTTTAAAAATATTCTTTACATTATTTGTGTAGTTCAAATAAGAGCTACATCTGAATTTCCATATTTGGGGTGTGATTTAACAATAGTATCTGCGTATTTCCGATCGAGGATTTCCCGACACTTTGGCAAGTTTGGGAGGGTGCGCAATTGTAACAAGAGCGCATTCTTAACCTGCGACTTAATGGTAATAAATCTGAATTCACCAAAATATTATCCACCTGTCCAAAATTAATTATATATCTTAACAACATAAAATCGCCAAATTTGTGTCCCGCCAAAAAAACCGCCTATACGGTATAAGGGTGAAGGGGAGAAAAAATTTTTAATTTCATGGTCCCTGTTTCCTTGGGCCTAAGGGATGGGGCCAAAACTACTAAAATTAATGCAATTTTGAAAAATCTTTTTTATTCCTAGACGTCAAGCAGTCGACCTTTTGGAATGTATGCAAAAAGCATTAAGTCCTATACCATATTATTGTGAAATTCATGGCCCCAGGGACAGGGATGGGACTTGATAGATTATTAGTGATAGTGCATTAATTCTTTAAAAGTCTTCTCTGCTCCTTGGCTTTAAACAAAATAACTTCATACATAATTATGATGAGTGAGGGTTCTTCTTCAAGAATTTTGAATTTCATGGTGCCAGGGTCAGGGGTTCAGGTGATAGGGCAGGGCTCTATTGATTATAAAGTAAAAATGCATTAATTCTTTGTGAATTTTCTCTGCTTCTGGGTGTGAAACAAACTAAAAACGTACACAATAAGTATACATAGTTATGATGAGCAAGGGTCCTTCTTCCAAAATTGTAAATTTCAAGGCCCCTAGTTCAGGGGTACCAAGAGGGGATGGCTGGGTTCTAATGATTATATACTGATTATATACTGAACATGAATTAATGCTATGAAATCTGCTCCGTGGTAGTAATCAAACATTTATGATGATAGAGAGTGCCTTTTCCAAAATTGTAAAATGTGTTTCTCCAGGGTCAGGGGTTCCTCTAGGGTGGGGACACTACTGTCTTACTGATTATAACTGATTAGTTGAAATGCATTTATTTGTTTCCCTTCTCTTCCTGCGATAAGTAAGTAACCAAAATAAGTTTTTAAGTGTACATAAATGGGTGCATTGGTACTTCTTTCAAAATTGTGAATGTCATGGCACAAACCAAATTCACTTGCTGGAAAGTTGTTACATAATGCTAAGGTAAGCAATAAGGCCTGTGGGCCTCTTGTTAGTTCACCTTAACTTAAGTTTTTAGAAACAGACCTTTGTTCTTATTGAAGATTCATTTTGAAAATAATAAATTGTACAACAACTAAATTACTATAGATTCTCTATGAAGTTAAGGAGAATCATTTTATGAAATGTGGAAACATATGATAAAACATGGACTCTTATCTATTCATCTAAAATAATCTCACAAGTAGGTAGATTGATGCTATTTTGTGTAAGCCGAATTTTATATGAAGTAAAATGAAGAGCATAAAAGAGTTGTTAAATGTTTTTTATCTTCTCATATTTAGGTAATTCTTACGTATCTACGCATCGATGAGGATCATTTTCATCAGATTGAAGAAAAGGGAAAAGTGAATAAAGCAAGCAAGTCAACAATTTCTTATACCAGGCCATTTGATTTCATGGACATGAGTGATAGACAGGAAATCTTGGAATATTTTTTCTGGTTAGGATATGTTCAATCAAATGCTTACCAGTTTAAATGGAGGTAGAATTTATGAATTCTTCATTTTTTCTTTGTAACTCAGGTAATTGTTGACCCATTGGGGAAGCATTCAAACAAATGTGTTCTTTGTTTAACTGAATAGATAGATGAATGTATTTATGTTTTGTTACCATTAGATGCACATTTTTCTTTTTAACTCACCTGAGCCAAAGGCTCAAGTGAGCTTTTCTCGTCACATTTTGTCCGTTGTCCGTCAGTCTAGCTATCCGTCCGTAATCTTTTCACATTTTCCACTTCTTCTTAAGTCACTGGGCCAATTTTGACCAACTTGGTACAAAGCATCCTTTGGTGAAGGGGAATTTAAATTGTAAAAATTAAGGGCCAAGTCTCCTCACAAGGGGAGATAATCAAGAAAAGACAAAAATAGGATGGGGTCATTAAAAAATCTTTTTCTCAAGAACAACTGGTTCAGAAAAGCTTAAACTTATGTGGAAGCATCCTGGGATGGTGTAGTTTCTAATTTTTCAAATCATGACCCCAGGGGGTAGGACGAGGCCACAATAAGGAATCAAAGTTTTACATAGAAGTATTTAGGAAAAAATCTTTGAAAATCTTCTTCTCAAGAACCAGTGGGCCAGAAAAGCTGAAACTTATGTCGAAGCATCCTTGGGTAGTGTAGATTCTAAATTGATTAACTCGTGACCCTGGGGGTTGGGCGGGGCCACAATAGGGAATCAAAGTTTTACATAGAAATATATAGGAAAATTCTATAAAAATCTTCTTCTCAAGAACCAGTGGACCAAAAAAGCTGAAACCAATGTGAAAGCATCCTGCGGTAGTGTAGATTCTAAATTGTTCAATTCATGACCCCCGGGGGTAGGACAGGGCCATAATTTGGAATCACAATAGGTTATTATAAGGGGGAAATCTGGTAAAGAACAGCATGGTCAAAGCTACTCAGGTGAGCGATGTGGCCCATGGGCCTTTTGTTTTAAATAGTGTGATATTGGTGAAATGTGCATTAGTACACTACATCATATTAATGACAAATGAATAAAACCAGAAAATGGCTCTGCAGGATTAAAGTTATTTTTTGAGGAAAAGCATAAGACGTATAAAAAAGAGAACCTCGGTTTTTGAACGAAGTGTACATGTTTGTATATGTAAGTCACAAATGCAAAAAGACATGTTCAGAAGTATTTGAATTGTTTATGTTTATTATTAATAACAACATCAAAATGATCCAGTTTAGGAATACTATAGTACTTACTTTCAGTAGTAGTGATATTGATCACATAATGATTAGAATTTGACACGTGTAGAGACATTTCCACTTCATAATTATTTCAAAGACATTTGAGTGTAAGAAATTTATCAGCATAAAACTTTTTTTTTAAAAAAAAGTAATAAAGAGGTACAAAACACTGACTTTGGTTTTCAAAGGAGGCTATGAAATTTATAAGAAACTGGTAAGAGTGATCTTTTCAGATACATAAGATAGTCTTGAATACATTTCTGCAAATTGCAAGCTTCTTTCAACTCCTTACAAATACTTCGGCTCCTTTTGTATACCAGCTTATCAACCATATATTGTATGATGCTATTAGCGCCATCAGCTATGATATCCAAATACATTTTCAGACTGATACTATGAAACATTTATTGTTAGGAACATATTTGAAGGCTATTCTTTGATTAATCACATAACAAAATGTCTCCCATCAGTTTGTCAAACTTGTATGAAACAACGTTGTTTACTCTGCCCTTCACTTAGCAATTTTCAACCTTCTTAGACTTAACAAGTTTACAGTTTCATCTAAAAAATCATTGGTGTTACCCACCATAAAAGACTGTAAGTTACAGAAAACTCAAATTTAAATGAATGTAAGTGGTCCAAAAAACTTATCAGCATGCAAACCAAAAAACATCTATTTTATTTAAAACACTCCAAAGCTACTAGTCAGACCCAACATTCGAGGTTTAATTCTGTTCACCTCTGTGGTAAGCAATTATTTTCAATTATCAACTACTTCAATGTTGCAAAATCTATTCAATTTGTGGCATGGACAATCAGACATTTAAGTCTCAGTCACTTAGAATTGTGCGTGCAACACAATTGCATCCATCAGGACTGTTTAAAGATGATATAAAGATTAAAGGTAGATAGGTATAAAGATTAAAGTTAGATAGAAATCCAATGCATTTAACCTACATCTGATTATAGTCATAGTCAATTCTGATAAAGAGTTGAAATTTTAACAACACAACATCCATATCATTGGTTTGGTCAAAGAGAAATGACCTGGGAACAGCTGGAACCAAACATTCACAATAGTGCTGTGCGATATTACCGGTTAACCGGTGTATCCCGATTTTTTTCTTCACAATACGTATCGCGGTATTTTTTCGTAAATACTGGTTCGGGTTTGAAATGCATTAAATTGTTATAAAAAGAGTTATTTGCCCTTTTCAAGGTAAAATATGGCGGCAAGCGTCTGAAGCGACTTGAAGTGTGATCAGAAATGAGAGACATGTCTCTCTCAGAAACGAAAAGATGACAACTGTTACATGAAAGCCTTTATTGTTAAAGCCGAATCGGAATATTATAACTTCATTCATCAAGTTGTGCCACAAAAAACTTAGCTTGCCACTTGCGCCAACACAACGCGACCAGGTACTTGCAATATCAACTCGAGATGCATGTAATTTGAGTTTGGGTTTTCATTTTTCATTGACGAAAAGCAAAATTTATTTAAAAATTTATATCGTGATATACTGCAATACAAAATATAATATTGCAATATATCGCGATACGATTTTTCAGTCGCGACACCCAGCACTAATTCACAATATCACTTTAAATGAATCATATAATGATTAATTAATCATATGAAATGCTCTTGTTCTATGGTATACTGCATACGACAAAAAGGGATTAACTCTGCAGAACTCAATCGCAGTACTAGTTTTGTCATGGCATGGGCAAAATTTGCCCGCATGTGGTGGATGTCTTTACATGCTCAGATTTATTAGCCCTCATGTGAAGAAAAATGGCCGAATTTTGCTCGAAGCTCGCTGCTGATCCTGTTATCTTCCAGGGTCCGTGGCAAATAATTGGGCTTATGTCATTCTATGAACCCTCTACATCATTCACTGTTGAAAAAGTCGATGTAGTTCATGGTCCTGGTAATGCATCGGTACATGCTCATTGGAATGCAGGTATCATTGTATATCATCGAATATCATTGTATATCATTGAATATTGTTGCATATCATTGAATATTGTTGTTTATCTTTGAATATCGTATCATTGAATATCATTGTATCATTGGATACCATTGAATACCATTGCATATCATTAAATATTGTTAAATATTGTTGCAAATCATTGAATATTGTTGTATCATTGGATACCTTTGAACATCATTGAATATTGTTGCATATCATTGAATATCATTGCAAATCATTGAATATCCTTGAATATTGACGTATCATTTGAAACCATTGAATATCATTGAGTATTGTTGCATATCATTGACTATCCTTGAATACCACTGAACTATCATTGTAAACATTTAGTAACAGTTATTCAATATACACTTTGTGTATATCATTGCATTGATACTTTATGTACATCATTGTATTGATACCTTGAGTACATCATTGTATTGATAATTCATTTTGACTATTGATTTATAAAGCCATGGCCATGACAAAAACTGCCAATCATTGTTAATCTATTTTGTAGACATAATCAGACTTAACTCAATATGAGTTAGTCACATTATGGAAACAAAAAGAGATATGGTCCAGGAATGATAACTCTCATGCAAATGTATATAACTGCTTAGACACATCCATTACGCATGTGCATTTTACTCTTCCTTTTCCATCTCTGTCACCCATTGAAGCTCAGCATACCACCCACCCTCCCCATTCACCAGATTTTAATAAGTTGTTATTTTATTTTGACAAAATTGTTGCTGCTGTCTTTGATTTCTTTTTTTAGTCATCATCCATTCCCTTGGCTACCAACAAAAGAATGCGTTACATCCTTTCCCTTGACTACCAGCAGAAGACTCCATTACATTTCCTCTTGGCTACCAAAAGAAGAATCCATTACATTTGATTCCTTGGCTATCAGCAGATGAATCCGTTACATCCATTCAACTTGGCTACCAGCTGAAGAATCCGTTACATTCGATTCCCTGGCTAACAGCAAAAGAATCCATAAGCGTCATGGCTTTTCTTATGTATCATTTAACTGCAGTGTACTTGGACTTTTTACGGACTGTGAACCGAATTTTGCCAGAAGCTCGCTGCTGATCCTGTTATCTTCCAGGGTCCTTGGCCAAAAATTGGGATCATGTCATTCTATGAACCTTCTACATCATTCACTGTTGAAAAAGTCGATGTAGTTCATGGTCCTGGTAATACATTGTTACATGCTCATTGCAATTCGGATATCAATGTATATCATCGAATATCATTGTATATCATTGAATATTGTTGTATCATTGAATATCATTAAATATTTTTGTATCATTGGATACCATTGAATATCTTTAATACTAGCTGCAATAATGTAGCCCTCTCCCTTTTTTTTCCTGCAGAAAACATCAGATTAAAAAAAATCGGAGAGGGCTACATTATTGCAGCTACATTAATACCATTTCATATCATTAAATATCATTGAATATTGTTGCAAATCATTGAATATCATTGAATCAGGGATGGGTTCAATTTCATAGGAAAGTAATTAATTAAATTACAATTACTTTCCCAAAACCTTCAATTAAATTACCATTACCATTACTTGGAATTTGAAATGTAATTAATTAAATTACAATTACTTTGCAAATGTAATTAATTAAATTACACATTACATTCAATAAAACATTATAAATTATAACGGAAATAGTCATGTACATTCCTAATCCTTTATATTTATATTGGATTATTTTACAACATAGTTTTACAATAATATTTTTAAAATGTTCATACAATTTTCAATTACTGTGTCTCCTAACCTTCATCTATTAGCTTTGAAGATTTTCCTGCCACACTGAGGATTCTGTTCAGTGTGGTATTTGTGAC